TTATTCCCAATAGCCAAGTCCTGGACCCAATTTAATGCCCACTGACCAGACAACTGGGATAAAGCTATAGAATACACATTCAATGAACTACTATGAGGCAATTCAAAAGATAAAAAAGTGCCTTTTATGAAAACATGGATGAATTTTGAGGTGATTATGACTGGATGGTTTCACTCGTTTGCAGAATATAAACAACCAAAGGAAAATGGGCAAAACACCAAAAATAATTCTTAGATTCTGAAAAATATATTGATTGCCAAGAGGGAGGGTGTGCAGAGGAGGGAACAGGGGAAGGCTGGGATAGGGCATTGGCACCAGGGCTTTCTTTGGTGGAGGGTGAAAGAAATATGTGCACACAGGAAGGTGTGAAATTGTACGCCTAAAATTAAAGTTATGTAAACAATCAGCAAATTAATAAAATTTGAGAAAACATTTAGAAAAGTTAAAAAAAAAGTGTGGTAGTTTCTTAAAGAGCAAAACATAAAATGACGATGTCTTAGCTCTAAAACTTGAAAACAGGAATTCTAAGAGACACTTGTTCACCCATGTTCATAACATTATGCACAAAAGCCAAAAGGTGGAAACAATATAAATGTTCATTAACAGGCGAGTGGGTAAAAAAGACACTGTGTAAACCATAAAATGGGATATTATTCAGTCATAATAAGGAGTGAAATCCTGACACACATGCTACAACACGAATTAACCTTGAAAATGTTTTCCTACATCAAGACAGACACAAAAGAAAATTTATTGCATAATTCCACTTATATGACATATGTAGAATGTGCAAATTCACAGGGAAGGAAAGTGGATTAGAGGTTACTACAACTCAGAGGTGAGGGAAATGAGAAGTTAGTGTTTAAGGTTCCAGGGTTTCTATTTAGGATGATGGAAAAATTTTACAAACAGAAAGTAGTGATGGTTGTACAATATGGTGAAGTAATTAACACCTCTGAACTGTATACTTAAAAATGATCAAAATGGAAAATTGTATGTTATATACAATATATAAATTATAAATGTGTATGTTATATACCATAAACAAATATATAAAATACATATATACACATATTTTACCAAAATTTTAAAAATTAATAGCAAAAAAAAGGACATAAAGACAAAAAAATGAAAGAGAAAAAGAAAGGAAGGAAGGCAAAATATAGAACTACAAAAACAAAATAATGGAAACTTCTTATTAGTATATGCTATAAAAGTGGCTTAAGGCAAAGATGATATAGAAATACACAAATATTTTCCTAACAAATTCATCCCAGAGCAGCAAACTGATTAGAATTTAGCACATTACTTAGGATGTAGACAATTATGAGGAGAGATGTCACTTTCATTTTGTTCACCATACTTACTGGATGCTTAAGGGTACAGAGTTCATACAGAATGCATCCCAAGGACCAGATGTCACTGGAACCATAAAGAAGTAATGCAATGCAAATGGGTTATGAATTATCATGTGAAAATAGATGTCTTTTCTAATACAAAAAAAAAAGAAAAATTAATTTAATTCCTAGTAATTAAAATATACGGTAACTTTGGTCTAACACTTAGAAGCATACTAACCAAGGTTCACAATAAATCTGCCTGCTCCCCAATCCCTAGCCCTCCAAACCAGGGAGCTTCAGCTATAACTTCAATAGTATCCAGTGTAAGAAGAACCATTTATGAATTCAGAGGATCATAGTTGGAAGGACCGAGGAGGAGGTCACCCGTGGAGCAAGCACCTAGAAGGAACTTCCATCACACCTCCTGGTAGAGAGCACAACCTATACCGCTGCTGGATAATTTTAGGAGACAGTGTTCTTCCTTACCATAAAGCAAAATGTGTTTCTGAAACTCCACTCCCTGCATTAGTTCTCCATTCCAAAAGAATGACAAGACCACTCATTCTTTTACCAAAAAGCTCTTCAAAAATCCAGAGTGCTACAGTTTGCCTTCTATACCTCCCTTCTCCATCCGAAGCATCTCCAGCTTCCTGTTTGTTACTTTCCAGACTCTTATTGAAGGATATTCTTATTTTACCTAATGGTTTTGGTAACTATTTCCCCCAGCTTATAATTTTTTTTAAATTTAAAGCCTACAGATAAGCTGGAAATGCCCATGTTTCCTGTGTTTGCATGCTGTTTGCCTGTGTACATACATGCATATTTATAAGAACCTGTTGAAAAAAGATAACAGACATCAAACACTTCACTCCTGAGCACATTAGCATGTATCTCATAGAAGAAAGGCTACTCCCTCAGAAACACAATAGCCTGATCACATCCAATAAAGCTAATTTAATTCAGTAATATTGTCCAATATCTTCTTCAAACTCAAATAGGTCTAGCTGTCCCCAGTTCGGTTAATTTTACTCTTAAAGGAATCTGTTTAGTATGGATTAGACCCTTTTCAGAAAGGAGCTTGGCAGAAGGTAACAAGGGCTCTTGCTGGTTTCTACCTCTAGGTATCCACATCAAGAATGTGTTACAAATGACAATCTATCCACTAAAGGTGTATTAATCGCAGAACTGTTTGTGCTACTGAAAACTGGCGATATATCGTTAAAGCCAACAACAGTGGAATGCTAAGATATTTTGGTGGAAGAGGCATGTGGTAAAATATTATGCAACCACTAACAATATTTACGAAGAGTTTAAAATATAATAAAGTGAATATGACATCAAATGAAAACAGCAGGACACCCACTTGTCTATAGAATATGTAAACTAGGTTTGGGGGGCAAACTAGGTTTGGAAAAAAATAACAAAATGTTACTAGCTGCTATGAAAAAGTGGGTAACTCCCATTTCTTTTTTGTATATCTCTACATTTCCAATCCTCCAGTTTCCCATCCTCTCTGTCAATATATACACATTACTTATATTTGGAAAAAAATTGTTTTACATCATAAGATCTCCATCTATCAGTCAAGTGCTTATTTTCTAGTCCTATAAATGTTAGCTGAGTAACATAATCCAGTGGTTCCAAGTTTTGTGGCACATTGGAATCACTTGGTGACCTCATTAATTCCTGATGCTGATTATCCAGCCCCAGATACTCTGATTTAACTGGATGGCTACAACAGGTTTTAAGATTTTAAAAGCAGGAGCAGCGGGGGCCCTCCCTGGTGAAGCAACAGGTTAAAGCACAGCACTATGAAGCTATCGCAGCCACTGCGACATGAGTTTGATCCCCGGCCAGGGAGCTGACCCACACAGCATAGCAGACCTCTCCTGTCTCGCCCGTTGCTCCCCTCGGCAGCATTCTTTGTCAGTTGGACTGTTCTGTTCCCTACTCTGTCTCTGATGACTCCTCTTACCCCCACATCTTTGGCCTGTACTCCAGTTCTGTATTCATAAATAAATAAATCTTAAAAAAAAAAAAAGCAGGAGCAGCAAAGTATAAAGACCAGCAATATACTTTCTGATTATTAATATAACTGTTCCTAGAAATGACTGGCCTTTCAGCATATTTTACATGTGGCCCTAACTGGCTCTATTTAAAGCAACTGGAAAACTATGACTTCCACTAGAAGCCTAAGAATTTAGATTCTACACTAGAAGCCTAAGAATTTAGATTCTACACTGCTTTCACATATATTTTTTTTTAAAAAATCAAGCTTAAAAAGTACATCATTTACCTTTTATTGTTGTAAGGCATGTTTTCCCAAATTTCTGGGGGCACATAATAGGGTGTTCCCACATATGTACAAGCAAATGCCATTGGACTAAAACCATAAAAAGAAAGAAAATGAATATAGCACAGTCCAGAATAAGGATGTTTCGATGACTGTTACTACTGTCAAACAGACACATACCTGGAGAGAAGACGAGCAGATCCGAAATCTCCCAGTTTTACTCTTCCATTTTGGGTGAGGAAGATGTTCTGCATAAAAAACAAAAAATCACATTAAGTCTCCATCATTCAAACAGAAGGCAGAGGTCTCCAGAGAAACTGTCTTTTGAAGTCTAATGATGATGGAGATTAAGGGTAGAAATGCTGACAGCTAAGTCTCACAGTGGACACTAAAAGACAAGATACCCTGACAACTACACATTCCCCTGCCCTGCTTGGAAATTCAAAAGACTACTTAGAAATCTACCATGCAAGCTTCACACTGTATCAGCAGACCCTGATGGCCAGACTGCACACCTGTGTCAGCCCCAAGTCTCAACCATTCTCCATCTGACAACAGGGACTTAGGGGGTCACTGAGAAGGCCTGAAACATGTTAGCATATACTGTTAAAGGGATTTAATGACCTCTTTCTCGAGTACTTTATTTGCCTAATATCATTGGCAAACATATTGATAAATATTTCTAAACTAAATAAAAATGTCCAAAACAGAAATACAGTAACAGAAAAAAAAAAAAAAAGAACTGAAAGAGATTGTTTTGTTGGACTCAAAAGTTCATTCCATTTACCTTGGACTTGATGTCTCTGTGTAATACACGTTTCTTGTGAATGTGATTTATTCCAAGACACATTTGAGTAAACCAATCAAGTACCTATAAGGAAAAAGCATGCAAATCTTTAGGACTCATGGCAACTTAAAATTCCAAAGAATTGGCTCTAGACCTTTGTTTACCTGTTTTTTATATGTAAGACAGAATTGCTAAAAATAACATAGTTCAACTAAGCTTCAGTGTTCCCTAGAGGAATTCAGAAAAGCTTCAAACCCAACCTATGCTCTTACATATGAACCAAATAGCAAGTTATTTTAATAAAACTATGATATTTTTCTTTTAATCAATATAGTATTATATAAAGGTCAATCACTAAGAAATTATTATGCTACAACTTCTTTTTAGGATAAACATTATATCAAATTTTCTTCTTTTTTTTAAGATTTATTTTATTTATTTATGAAGACGAGCTGAGATGTAGGCGAGAGATGCTAGGGGGTGCTGTGTGCAAGAGGATTCACCAGAGACAGAGCAGGGAGCAGAACAGGCAGATTGATGAAGGACACTGCTGAGGGGAGCAGCGGGTGAGACAAGAGAGGTCTGCTGCATCATGTGGGTCAGCTCCCTGGCTGGAGATTGAATTCATGCTTCAGTGGCTGCTGATAGCTTGATAGTACTGAGATATAACGCCTTGCACCCACCACGAGGGAGGCTCCAACATTATATCAAATTTTCATTTACTTTTTCAGAGTATTCATATGCTAACATTTAAGATATTGGTGGCATGGTGGTGAACATATGTTAACATTAAAAACACTTCATTATATTGTTAACAACCCTTTGAAGCCAGCACTTTTTGCTTATGAATTCTCAGTTAACAATACTCAGACTAAGGGACTTATGGTTAAATGTTCTGACTTTTTTTTTTTGGCTACAGAAAAATTTGAAACCAAGGTTGATCTCTTTTCATGGTACACAAACTTATAACAACACAACTTTTATGAAAAATATTTATATAACATTTTTATATAAATAAATATTTATATAAATATTTGTATAGCATTTTACACTCTAAATCAAACCAAGTCCATGAAAGTTGCTTATTTAAATATTTTCCCTAGTTAACTCATTCCAATAATATTTAATACATAATCTTCCATTAACAAGATAGTAAATTTTAAATATAAGGGAATATGGTAAACTTAGGTTCGCTAAAGAAACAGAAATACAGGCTTCCTTCTTCTTAAAATGTATTGCTACATACAAAATAGACCCACTGATGTACAACATTTCAATACAGCAAATATCAAAACATTTAGTACCTAGTATAAGACACAATGAGCAATTCCTTCTAAACATGAAAGTTTTATTCCTTAATATTTTATTTAGTTCATCTATTTTACTTCCTAAAAACATCTTCGGGAGCCACATCCCAACGGTACTAAGTCATTTCTGACTAGCATATTAGTTAATAATAAACCCCAATGTTTTTAATTTAACTTTTACAAATTTCATAAGCAAAGCTGCTTTTAGAGCCCTCCCTGGTGGCTCAACAGGGTAAAGCACAGCACTGCGAAATTATGTGCAGCTACTGCAGCACAAGTTCAATCCCCGGCCAGGGAGGTGACCCACATGGCACAGCAGACCTCTCCTGTCTGACCCACTGCTCCCCTCAGCAGTGTATTTCAGTTGATCTGCCTGTTCCTCTCACCCCCTGTACTATAGTACTTCTTGCCTGTACCCCAGTTCTTGTATGCATAAATAAATCAATCTTTAAAAAAAAAAAAAGCTATTTCTCAACCTTGAGGAAAATTAAGTTGTTCTCTTACCATAGCTTCAGGAAACAACTTTCCTTTCTGATGTTTAATCTTCTGCATTAGGTCCCCTCCATCACAATATTCCATCACAATATACAGATGTCCTTCAGCTAGAACAAATATACAGCTCGTTAGCAAAGTCACAGAAGTCATGAGTCAAATTCAGAAATGCACTTATTTGGGGGAATTAATATTTACCTTCAAATGATTCTTTAAAAGCAACAATATTGGGGTGCTTCATTTTGGCTAAAAGAACCGCCTCCTTCCTAGAATTCTGTATGTCAGTGGAAGACTAGAAAAAGATTTTAAAAAAGAAAATATAACAAATGGAACATCAAGCTAAAAAGCTTCTGCACATTGAAAGAAATGGTCTAAAAACAAAAAGACAATCTACCAAGTGGTAGAAAATATTTGCATACTGTGTATCTGACAAGGGGCTAATATCAATAATCTACAAAAAAAAAAAAAAAACTCATACAACTCAACAAAAAGGAAAAGAATTCAATCATAAAATGAGCTGAAGAGCTAAGGAGACACTTCTCCAAAGAAAACATTCAGATGACCAATCAGGACATGAAAAAGTGCTCATCATCCCTTATCACCAGAGAAATCAAAACCACAATGAGATACTATCTCACACCTGTGAGAGTGGCACATATCAAAATGTCCATAAACAAGTGTTGACAAGATATGGAGAAAAGGGAACTTGCTTATATTGCTTGTTGGTAGGAATGTGGACTGGCTCAGCCCCCTACAGAAAACAGCATGGAGGGTTCCAAAATATTAAAAATGGATCTACCATATCACCCAACAATCCTGCTCCTAGATATCTACCCCATGAATGCAAAAACACTAATAGAAATTGATGTATGTGCTCCCACATACATTTGCTGTAAGTGCAGCACTATTTACAATAGCCAAGTTATGGAAACAATCTAAGTGCCCAAGTACAGAGGAATGGATGAAGATGTATACACAATGAAATAACAAACACCAACAATAAAAGATGAACTCTTGCCATTTGTAATAATGTGCATGGAACAGGAGTGAGTAATGCTAAGTTTAATAAGTCAGTAGACAAATATCAGAACGTTTCACTTTTATGTGGAACGCAGAGAAACAAAAAGGGGTGAGTCCAAACCAAATCAAAAACAAACCCTAGAAATCTAGCTGTAAAACTGAAGGCCCAGAAGGAAAGAGAACAGCACAAGGTATCTTGGCAGTAGGAGTGGTGTGTTGCATATACCTGGAAAAGTGGGATACTGTATTTCTGAAGCAATACAATCAATATTATCTTTTTTTTTTAAAAGATTTATTTATTTGTGCATATAGAGCTAGGATACAGGCCAGAGGCTCAGGGGCAGTGAGAGGCTTCACCAGAGACAGAGTGGGGAGCAGAACAGGCAGATGGATGAAGCACACTGCTGAGGGGAGCAGCGGGCGGGTCAGGAGAGGTCTGCCTCGCCATGTGGTCTCCTCCGGGGCAGGCAGGAATAGAACTCACGCGGAAGTGGCTTTAGTTTCTCAGTGCTGTGCTTTAACCCACTGCGCCACCAGGGAGGGCCCACAATCAATATTATCTTAATAAAAAATTCAAAATATGCATAAATATACTTCCTATAAAATAGCTTTATCTCTGTGGTCTCCGCCACAGAAGCAAGAGGACAAAGAGTGTGTAGTCATTTTGAAAGTGTCACAAAAGACGCACACCTTGGCCAGGGCTGAGGCTTGAAGCCTATCCCTTTAGAAGTCGACCTGTGGCAATGAGGCTGCCCTGCCTGGGGCCAGAGAATTAGAACTGCAGTGCCAAGACTGAAGGATGAAATACCACCAGCGCTTTTCCAATGAGGCACCTAAAAATTGCATACCACAGATTCATGCATTCTATGCAAAAACAACTAAGCCCAAGAGTCAGCTGATGCAGCATCCTGTTCATCTTAAGGATTTCAACAATTACTCACACAATAAAGGTCTGTTTTTTTTTTAAATAGTTTTATAATAATATATATGGTTTGTATGATATTCTAATACTAGATGTATTTTAGGTAGATCTTTTTAGTTCATTGTGTTTTTTAATACCTTTTTCATTACCACTGCACCTGCATTGCTTTGCTAAAGACCCCTCTACCCTGGGGTATATGAAACTTGAGACAATTACAAATTATTCTCATTGATATAAAACAAATAACAATTGCTACCCAGCCATTGATTATTTTTTTCCCCTTTAATCATTTACAATAGCCTAACAGCCATAGAAGAGCGATCATGACCTTGTAAAGTTAATGAAGACATGTCTTATATCATTACAGCAAGGAGCAATTCCTTGTTAAACCTCAAGAGCTTACTCTCCTAGACACATTGCACACTTTGTACACTTTCACATGAGCATTAGCGTGGCAATGAGTGACCTTGGGAAGCCTGATCTCCTTCATGGCAAACATGTGACGACTGGTCTCCTGCTGGACCAACAGGGCTCTGCCGAAAGAGCCCTCCCCGATCACTCTCAGGACTGTGTAGTCATCCATGCTGGGGCAGCCACACAGCACAGCTCCACTCATGAAGTCACCACAGGCTCTCTCAAACTCTATTAAAAACAGAAATATTTGAAAATTTATTTTTAAAGGCAGGATTAATCAAAGTAACTCTCCTTGTCATAAAACAGAGCATCAGCAACTTATTCCTTTGTGCATCCAACAGGTAAATAAATACTGAGTAAATGGGCCCTCACTGACACCCGGTGCAGACTGCATCTCTGACCTCTCCAAGTCCTGCAGAAAGAACCTTGCTGGCATATAGCAGAAATATCCATGAGACTCAGAAAATCATATCCAAGCTGAAGACTGTAAGATGAAGAGAAGCTGGTGAAGCAAAGAGAAGGAAAAGAAGGACCCAGGGAGGAAGAAGCACATATTTAAAAGCAAAAGATATTTGTGTTCAGTTCAAGGAATTGAAAGAGGACTGTAACAGGCTGGTCAAACAGACAGGGCGTTATGGGAAGGCCATTGTAAGCCAAGTCTAGGTTGCTGGGTTGAGGTTAAGGAACGGCTGTCTCTGAAAGATTTTACCCAAAAGAGCAATATAATCATATCTGCATAGTAAAAAAATCTGCCTGCGATTAGACTGGAGACGGGAGAGAGCAAGTTGGCCAGAGAGGACTTCAGGCATAGAAAAGGCAGAACTAAGGGACTGGAAAAGAATGGCGCCAGTGAAGAAAAAGGGAGGGAAGGATGTATCAGCAAGATTTTTGGTGATGAGATTTAAGGGGGACAAATAAAGAGAGGGGCAAGGTGAACTCCTAATTTTATGGTGGAAATTAGGTAAATGGTGACAGCATTCAAGAGGAGAGAGAGGTTTTTGTTTGATTTTTCTGGAGATGGGACTGTGGCAGGGGTAGAAAATGTTCTTTTGGGACATTTAGAGTTGAAGGTGCCTGGGAATGAATGGGTAGGTGGATTGCTTAATACATGAGAAAGTTGACTATAAATTTCTAACACTTTGCCTGATGCACGGAGGCCTGCAATAAGTTGCAGCTATTTCCATCATAGAGATAATCTGAGACTTGGAAAGCTTACATGTGTTATTTTTTGTTTTGTTTTGTCTTGTATAATCACACCACAGAGACTTACAAGGCACCAAGAGCCTGGCAGGTAAAGCAAAAATCACAAATCAAAACTAGCAATATTGCCATCCACAAAATTTATATGTATAATTCCTATTTATCATAAAATTACCAGGAAACCCTAGAAATAATATCCCCATCTAATCAAATAAATGCACTAATTTGAAAAAGAATTCAAGAATTTTAGGTCTTTCGATATACTTAGGGAGCTGGGAGGAAAAAGTTATTTGTCGTTAAGTGACCACTAGTATTACATGGTTTCAAAATCATATTTTATTCTTTCTTTTCCTTTTGGAGTCCTCACTTTAGGTAATGGACAAGCAATCACTGACTTTCCCCTGCGGAAAACCACTTTTGGTCCTATCTGTTCACATTTCCCGCTGTTATTTAAAATAACACCCATAAGCGCATGAAAATACACTCCAAATGTTGTAAAAGTGTCCTTTTACACGTCTACACCAACCCCAAACTAAGGAAGCGCTTGCAAATACCCAGAAGTGGGATCACAGGTGAGACAGGGTAAGTTTAGAGGGTGCGCTCGGGGTGAGCATGCTAAGGGGGAGACCCCTCCTCCAGATCACCCGGCTCTGCCCTGCAAGCCCAACCTGCGCCGAGCTAGCGCAGCGCCCGGAACTCGGGGGGAAACGGGGGTAGGGTGAAGCGGGGCGACGGTAGGGCTGCCAGTGGAGGGCGAGCTGGCCAGGCCCTGGATGAAGCTGGGGAGGGGGTCCTCGAGCGCCGGGAGCGGCATTTCCCACTCGCCTCACCCAGGCATGCACATCCTGCTCCCACGCCCCACGCCGCGACCACCCCCTGCACCCCTTACTGCAGAGGGGGCGGGCCCCTGAGGCTGCTCACCTGTCTCCGGGGCGATCACAGTCCGCTCCCACCCGGGTTGCTGGCGCGCTTCCGCGGGGCGGGTCCGCGAATTGTCTTTTCGTTTCGGGCGCAGGAAACCATCTGAGTCTGGCGGGCGGTACTGTTCTTGGAGTGGCCGGGCCTACCAAGGGCGTGTTGTAAAACTGTACTACGCTGCACTTGAACAATTCCTTTGAGGGTGTGTGTCACCAGTAAAAGAGTTCTGTCCCCAGATTATAAATTTCACAACCCAGCACTCAGTTTACTGTGTGATCTTGGGTGTGGGGGCGCTGGGGTCAGAGGGGAAGGGGAGGTTGGACCCCAAAGATGTCCATACCTACCCCCAGGAAGTTGCACAAAATGTTAGATTACTTGGCAAAGGTACTAGGGATTAGGACTCCAACATAGCTTTTATGGGGAGGAAGTGGGGGAAGGGGTAGTGGGGCACAATTCAACCTGAAACAATCAGCAAGCATAGACTTGATGTTTGATTAGGATAGGAGGGAGAATACATCTGCCCTGCCCTTTTTTGTTGCAGCTGTTGACAACTGTGAGCTAGGGGAGCTTTTTAGCTGAGTAATTATTGGAAATAATAAAATTTTATTATAAATAGCATACACAAGTTGCTAGAAGCTAGGCACTGTTTTTGAATAATATATATAAATACTTGTATGGACTCCTTAAGTGTTAGTGATTAACTCAATCTTCAAAATAACCCTAAAGATAGATACCATTATCAACTAAGAGAAGAGATCTTACTTCCCTTACATTCCAAAGTTCATAAGCACAAATTGAACCCAGTTGGTGTGGTTCCAGGATCTGGCTCTTAACCATTCCATGTTGGGGTGTCATTTAATAAGGCTTAAACTAAGTCCCCACACCTTGCCCAGCAAGGTTTGGGAGGCTTGAAAAAGTAAAAGGTAATAAGGTTGTTATGGGAACCAGGCCATAAAACAGATCCCTCTGATCAAGAATGTGTAAGCAGAGCCAGGATACAGTCTGTGTCTAAGGTCAAGGCCCAAGACCAGACAACCCAGCATTAACCAGCCCAAACTCTCGCCAGTCATGAAAAGCCCTTGCTACAGGTTATGAAAAGAAGCCTCAAGTCCTTCTACCCATGCAGACCTCTCCCATCTCACCTTCTGCTTCTTAGTGTTTTTCAATAAATGTCTGTTCTGTCCACTCTGTCTCTGGTAAATTCTTTCACCCCAGTGCCTCTGGCCTACACCCCATTCTTTGCCGCTACATGCAATAATGTCAAAGCGATGGGGCAGTGGTAAGTAGTGTCAAAGACGACCAAGCTATGAAGTCCGAAGGGGCTCCACTGCATTTAGTGACAGGAGTTCATGGGTAATTTTGAAGAGAGTTGGTTCAATGCTTTGATGAGGGAAAACCCAATTTGCTGTAATTGAAGTAGATGGTCAGCAGAATCATGGAATACAAGATACTTTCAAGAAATCATTTGAGAAAGAAATCAGCCTATGGTTGAAGCCCAAAGAATTGAAGGGCTTTCAACTGTATCTATGAATAAGAGGTGGACAGAGTTCCCTTTGGCAGCTCTGGAGTGTCCCTAGTGTTACAGGGCAACCCAGATGTGATGTGGGTTGCCTGACTGTGGGTGCTCACCTGTGTGCTTAAGAGGGACTCATCATAAGACTCAGCTTCTGGCAGACAAAAAGGCTAACAAAGGGTTTATTTACAAAAGAAGCGGAAATGAGGAAATGAATAACACAGGGAAAAAGAGATTATTTGGTGAATGTGTCCTACCAGTTCCACTGAGCTAAAATTCCAGTAGCATGCTGAAATCTGACAAAAAGACCAATAGCCAAGTTTGTTCCCAGGCCCACATATCCCGTTGGTGCGTAATTTCACCCTCAGTTCCCAGCAATCCTCCCTTAGGTGATGATGACATTATGGGATTTGTAGTTCCTGGTGTCTTGAATCTTTTTTGGCCTGGAGTGGGGTTGGGGTCCATAAAACCTGTGTTTGGGCCCTCCCTGGTGGAGCAGCGGGTTAAAGCACAGCACAAAGAAGCTTAAGCCATCTCCGCATGAGTTCGATCCCCGCCTGCCCCGGAGGTGACCACATGGCGAGGCAGACCTCTCCTGACCTACCCACTGCTCCGCTCAGCAGTGTACTTCGTCGATCTGCCTGTTCTGCTCCCCACTCTGTTCCTGGTGAATCCTCTCACCCTCCGCACCTCTGGCCTGTACCCCAGTTCTATACAAATAAATAAATCTTTAAAAAAAAAAAAAAAAAAAACCTGTGTTTGTGGAGTTTATTCAGGGTGTCCATTCCCCCCAACTGCTCTTCATTTTGACTTGGAAGCAACAGGATTACTCTTTCTGCTCCAAAGCATGTTTACCAATAAAGCTTGGCGTTGGTGAGGAGAAATTGAGCTATGAAGGGAAGGAAAGGGTGGCACAAGATTGTGAAAGTATTTTATCAGTGAGAAAATTATAGTTATAGGTTGAAGGATAGTAAGACAATGGAAGGAAACTAAGCTGAAAATACAGGAGGCAGTGGAGACAGGGAGTATCAGTGAAACTGAAAGAATGACTTTGGAGCCCAATAAAATGGTACTCTTGGGCTGGAGGTAAGGCTTGTGGTCTTTTGATTCTTCTGGTGGTGGGAGTGTGGCAGGAGACAGATATGCTTCTGAGACTTAAAGAGATAAGGATGTTAGAGAAAAAAGGGAGTCTTCAGAGCCTCAAATCTCTACATGAAACTAAAAATGAAGTCATCTACAGAGTACAGGTGTTGGGGCAAACATCTTGAAGAAGATGTTTTTAATCAAACATGTATATGTATTAGTTATATACAGTAAAATTGTGAAGAGTGAAGCTCTGATTATTGCTATCAGAATATGAGAAGAAACTAATGTAGACAGACTATTATGCTGTGGTTACAGACTGGTTTTGCTGCAGTTACAGACTGGTTTAGTTGTGTGAGGCATTTTGTCTGTCACTTGGCTGCTGTGGCTAGTCTGGTTCTGTGTTGGAGAGTTCTGCAGCTCTGGGTGCATCTCCTGCTGTGTCTTCAGGAGTAGAAACCTGGACTGGAGTCTGGCTGCTATATGCCCCCAGTTGCCATAGGCAGGAAAACACCATCTTAGACATGGGGCTATTGTTTAGGAGAGGAGCTGCACATCCTCAGTGGTGGAAGATGTCATCATAATGGCCTTTACTCAAGACAGTACTGGACACGATTTTGGGTAAAACAGCCATTATTGGCCTCAATAACTCGTTTTTCCCGTTTGTTAAGTGAATCCCTTTATCATTTCCTAAGCTTAAGCAGTCTTGCAATTGTGTGCATGAGTGAAGAACCCAGATAGTATTTAGTAAAGTATTTGTGCAGCAGGGCGTTGGCCAATTTAGGAACTCCTAAATCACTCTCTGGAAAGGAGCCAAGCTTCAACCAGGGGATCACAAAGGTAACAGTACAAATGACCAGAGGAAACCTCATTTTACCCTTCAGAGAATTGAGGTTTTAACTCTTTAACTCTTGGTAACATAATCTTTAAAGGAAGTTAAGAACTGAGATCTTGAATGTAGGTCTGTTATATTTCAAAGTTCACACACCATATCACATCTTTGAAGATCACTTAGCCCAGAACAAACTTAGGTAAGATACAGTAGTGTTCATAAAACACCTGAATAGACGATAGTGATGAAGCATCTGAAAAGCTAAACCTATGATTGTAACTGTAAGCACCAGAACTATTTAGACAGATTTTCCTTCAGTTGAGAAGAGGGGAAAATATGCTATGAAAACTTGTCCAGGCATAGAACAATTTCTCTCAAGTCCTCTTTAACTCAAATTAATTAAATTAATTTCAAGCTGTGCTAACGGCGAACTGAATCAGGTAATGTGGGTATTGGCAAGTTTGAAGACCGTTTCAAAATGGCACATTTTGGACCATTCATGTCAAATATGAAAGGAAAATAAGCAAAACACTAAGGTGAATTTTTATAATTTCTCAAGAGGAAATATACCAGTAAGTATACACCTAAGCGTTGAAACCTCAAGTCAAATCACACCATAATGTATTTCAAAGAGAAATTTCAAATTTAACTTTGATTAAATTGCATTTCCTATTTGTTGAAATAAATATCATCAGAAAATTGTTAGGTAGGTATTTTATTGTATACATATTAGGTACGTAACTAAAAAAGAATAAAAAACCTACTCTTACAACATGAGAAGACAATAAATAAATGATAGGTACTATTATACAAAAGGAGGAACTGAATATAAGACTGATTTTTCAATCACATTCATATTACAGTTTTAAAACTTATTACACTGGTCAATTATTTGAAGCCAGAGTTGAAGAAGAATGCATGACAGTTAAGTGTTAGTTCAGAAACTTAAAAGACAATTTGGTTACTATTATTTATGTGTGGGGAGAAGAAAACTGTTTACTACATGTAACTATGTTTCAGGGGAAATGATTTTAACAGAAAATTTTTTTATTATTAAGAAAACAAGTTTAAATATTATTTTAGAAATACTTCCTACATTTCAATGACATTAAATATATTTCTTCTCTAACTCCATTTTAATAATCTATAAACAATATCAAATAGTTAAACTATCAAGTAACAGAAGTTAAAATTCTAACATTTTAGATTAGTCAAGTTATAAAAGGAACTAAAGAAATTCAGAGTTAACATTTCAAATATTTGGCACTTTGTCCTTCTTATCGCTAAGTGGGGTATTCGGTTAACTCTACTTGGTAACCTCCGTTACAATACAAAAGAGAGAGGCCGAGAGACACAGATGCAGACTCACTAGTGTTGTTGGTACAATAAAAGTAGTAGTGTGGGTAACCAGAATCTGGTGAAGAAGCAGGCTAAATCTTTTGCCTTACTAATTCAAGTCACACTACACATTATAATGGCTGACTTTCAAAGTGACCCAGAATTAATGAATGGCCAAAACAAACATCTGCGTTCTGTTTAAAGGCAAGGACACATATCCTAAATTTTAAAAACACTTCTCTGTAAAAAATATTTTATCTACAGTATCTCATTCCTGAGAATGCATGCTGTATTTATATTTAATGACTTATAATTTTGGTATGATTTAGGACTATTAAAAGTGAAAAGGGGAAAATGCTACGGTGAAGACAGAACTGGCCATTTAGAGGTTAACTTAAAGTGGTCACATGTTGATTCTCAATGATGGACATTTGAAATTTATGTTGCACTGCAGTGTTACTTCGATTACCTAAATAAGGAAGAAGCTAATATGACAGTGAAATATACCTGTATTCAAGGAACACAGTAACTAGCTGACAAAATTTATCTATCCTAGACAAAAACTCAGTCTGTTGAGACAGACAAGGTAGGATTAGCTTCAAAACACATAAAAGACAATTACTTTAAAGTGAATGTTAAAAAAGTGCTTCCTGCTATGAATATTAGGTACTTGGCTAAGTCCTGACCTAAGAGATATATAAAACCACAAACACCAACCAGACAAAGCACGCCAGGCATAATAAAAACCCCACTCCTATCATAGCTTTATTTCTCTTCTGTTTCTGTCTCCAAGTACATCCCACACAGTGCTGCATTAGGGCGGCAAACAAAAGCATCTGTTTCATTACCCAACTCTGTTAACTGTTCCAGTGAAGACACACAAGGATAATGGTCTTTCAACATATCTGGCAATTTAGAAGTCTTCTCCTGAAGACGCCGAGAACGTCTAACTGGTGTTAGAAACTTAAGCTCTTTAAATGCAGAATTTGTTTCATCAAAATGCATCTTCTTTTTTAAGCTAAAAACAGCAAAACAAATGTTTCCAGTTATAAAACAAGCTAACATTTTGACTTTATATTTTTATGTTACTTATATATAATTTGTATTTTACAACCATGATATGACTGTCTTTGGGAAAGGATTATACACTCCTTAAAGTAAGGGACTTACTTTTTTCTCTATTTGCTGTTAAATTTTATACACAATGAATACTTGAAAAGCTATAGAATTAGGTTAACAAATCTACAGAATTAGGTTAACTGCTCTCTTCCAAAACACTAATATCAACAAAACACAAGAGTGAAATGTGCCAATGATATTGTTTGAAATCTCTTAAAAATGGCGGTTTTCATCTTCATCTGTTTTTTAGATACCACATTTATGACCCCTAAGCATAAAAAAAAATTACAGCACATTGCATTTTAAAAGTTTACCTTTGCAAGTATGGTGTAGTAGACACATTATATTTAATTAAGCAACTTGTCCTGGTTTCTGTATTAGGAGTTTTAACATCACTGATCGGATCTTTGGTATTGTCATCATTCGATTTTTCACAATCTTGAAACACTACATTTTTTTGATGTTTATTTTTAATTTCCAGTTTTCCTGAATCTAGATTAATACCTGTATCTTCAATGCTGACTTCTTGGATTTGTTCCTTGATTGCACAAGTCTCCTCAATACTTTCCCCTATAGAAACGTATTTATAGATTAAGCTTTTGGTCACATTTAAACAATAAAATCACCAATCATTCACTGTTGGCCAGTTTTCAAAATAAAAGAACATCTCCTACCCATTAAATTTCCCAAACAAAAACTGCTACCAAATATTTAACAAATACTCTCTCCCACATATCAGGATTTTTATAGTTACAAGTATAAAAGTGAAATCATCTCAGTCCTTTAAGGCCATATCCCATACAAGAGACATGCTTGAAAGTAATTATAAAATGAGAAGGTTCCATAATTGAGGTAAGAGCAAGGGTTATGAGACACTGTCCCTGTCATCAAGTTTATAGTTTAAAAGACATGAGGAACAACGACAGAGGCAATCAAGTACACCAAGTATTGCAACGGCAACCAGGAAGTGCAAATAAGCCAGTGCAGTCCAGGGGGAAGAGAGGAAAGGAGGAGGTCAAGGAAGGCTGTCCCAAGGAAGTGACATTTGAAGTGAGGTCTAAAGGATTAGTCGGACTTGGATTCAAAGATGAAGACTGGCTTGGAGAGACCCAGATGCAAGATAGATCATTCTATGAAATTAAAAAAAAAAAAAACAAGAAACAACAGAAAAGAAAGAAATTCAGGGATGTGGAGGAGAGGAAGACTGAGAGGAAGCTGGCATAACAGACAGGATATTTTGGGACAAGAGAAACGTGGAAACAAAATTGGGGTGCTACTATTGTCGAGGTTAGTAGCAATAGGTGACCCAAACTATAGTTATGACAGTAAGGATGGAGAAAAGTGAGTGGATTTTAAGAAATTCTTAGGAAGTTAAATTGAATTTAATTAGCTGGAAAATAAGGGTAGGGTGAGAAAGTAAAACATAATCCCAAGATGTCTGGCTTGGAGAATTAGATAGTGTTATTCACCAAGAGGCAACCAAAAAGAAGAAAAAGTTTAGGGAGAAACAAAACATTCAAGTCTAGACATGTGAGGTGAAACAGCCAAGTGGTATTTATCTGTTATTATTGTCTTGCATTTCCCAATGGTGTTCTCTTGCAATTTACAAATTGTTTGTAAATTTGATTTTCTATCTGGAACTTAAAATTAGACATTCCATAAAGACAAGAGTTTACAGATAACATTTCTTTTTACAACTAAAGAAAAATATACTTTCTAGAAAAGATGCCCACAAATTAGTGTCATTCTATTAAGGAAAAATAAGATGGAGAAATAACTGAACCAGGTTTAAACACTGGTTTTATCTTTCCACAGGTTTCTACAAGCCAGTGAGAGTTATGAAGACTCTTTCTGAAATCCTTATTTGCACTTGCTGTCCTTTAGCACGCTAGGCACAGGATTTGGTTATTCTTACAACTTTCTCTTCCTTTGATTTGTGGTATACTAGTCTTTCCTCCTCTCCCAAAATTGTTTCTCAAGCTCCTTCTTTAAATATAATCAGTAAGGTCAGACTGCATACACCTGTATGTTTCCCCAAAGAACATTAACAGTAATCATAAATTGAAATATTCTTTGTTGAACTACACACACAGCCAATAGAAACAAGATTTCCGCACACATGATAAGTCATGAACTAATTAATTCCATTAAATTGGTCTTTTTAAAATACCATAACTAAAAACTAATATGTAACACAATTTAGAATATTAGTACAATTTTATATTTTATTTCAAGTGTAGCTCATAACCTAGATCTCTACATTCTAAATTTATTTTGTGTACTGAGAATAAAGTACTTTTAATTACTCTGGAAAGCAATTTAGCAGTATGTATCAACAGTCTAGAAAAGTACAGACCATTTGATTCATGCTAAAAATAAATCAAGAAACTAAACATATTTGCTGCTTGGTGATAAACAATTATAGTAACAAAACTAGAAATGACTCAAACAAGGAAACAATTTTTATGTAGTCATTTCTTCTCTCTTCCCAGCTAACTAACAATAATAATGGCTAAGCATGTGCCCGAGAGTGACATTTACATATATTATTTCATTCAGTAGTCTCAATAATCTTAAGGAACAGAATAACATTATCTACAGATAAGCATGGAGTTATAGTTCTTGCAAAATGTCAAAGTATTTGATACAACCTAATCTCTGAATCTAGAAGTCAATTATATTTTATTTATGTAACAGCTAATGAACCTACTTCATCTCTATCTACTATCCCTGGCAAAGAGGACTCCTGAATGAAGCATGGACCAGATAACACAATTTAATAGGTGAAAGTCTTTAAAAATCATCCAATCAAAAGGCCTTTTGTTTCCTTCTCCCATTTCTCCTCCTTCCCCAAAACTACATTATTTTTAAGATAGGAAATTAAAAGTCCGCAGAGGTAAGTTAACTCACTTAGTGATATTCAATGACAAATCTGGGTCTTTAATCAGATCTCCTGATTAAAAATTCTTTAAACTACCTAAAACCACTGATCATCACAGATAGGGCAACAGAAATATGTGGAAAGGAACAAACTAAAAATTTTAGAAGTTTAAAAAGATAAAAGAAAAATAATTCAACAAAGACATCTAATAAAATCACAATTCATATGAAGGAAACAAAGAAACTTACCAAATTTAACTTTTTCTTGACTCTTCATTGTTAGAATATCTACGATTGTATGACGCATCTCTTCGATAGGCTTAATTTTTTTTAAATGAAGAAAGCAGACCAGGTAAGTTTTGTATTTTCAAACATTAAGTAGGTTATCCAAGTTGAAAATGCTAAAACTGTGAAATATGAAACCAAAACTTCCTTTTCTAAAATAAGGCAGTAGTTCTTAGGCTTTTCAGAATGGGTATTCAAGTTGAAAAACTACTCTTTTCCAATGTATAGAATAAAAATGAACCTAAGGGATAGAATTTTGATTTTAGTTCTACAACTTAGTCCTGACTACTCATTAAGCTTTCATTTGGGGGGCACTAATTTTGATACTTGTTTTCTAGTTTCTGCTCTGTTATAACATATTTCTTTTTACACTACTGTGCTCTAAGTGAAGCCTTGCACCCAGTTATGTGTCCTAGTTATACTGCCATAAATTGTGTTAAGTTTTTTCTGCTTCAATGTAGTAGGACCTAACATTCTTTTCCATATGGAATTCTGTGAAAGATAGGTATCCTTCAGCAAAGTGTTTTATATCTAACAGCCACTGAGACTATCTGCTGAATATTTAACTTCTGATTCAGGTGAAAAGTCAAATAGCATTTACTGGCTTTGCTGAGACAAAAGTGAACATAAGCTTCTTAAAAAAAGGTTAAAAAGAATTTTTTGAAAACTCTTTGTAAATAATCTCTAAGTAAATGTATTCTTGAAAAACTTTGTTAAAAGGAAATACATTTTAGGCACATTTACCCATAAATACAAAAAACAACCAAGCTAAAAAAAGTCAGGATAACAATTTTTGCTATACCAGAGACTTTTTGTTGCAACATACTAGGAAGAGGTGAGAGGACAGAAATTCACTATGGTGGTAACAATGTTATAGAAACTAGTTCTTGTAATTTCTATACAAGAATAGGAATAAACAAATAGTATATAAATGTGAGTACATTAACGGTTCATTCCTAAAGTCAAAGAGTTGTTTTACAAAGTCATCAGAACTTGCTAATAAGTCAAAGTTAATTCCATTTGCTTTGTATTCAACAAATTTCAATATTAAAAATTCAGTTTCCCAGATTTCTCAACCAAAAAATGCACCAATGGCAAGCTGTATTAAAATATTTCTTACAGCTAGTTTTATTAAATGTGTATTTCAGCTTATATCCATTTGTTAATGTCTGATTACTCATCATACATGAGCAAGTTTTAGAAAGCTGAGAAGCAGCTTTTATAATGCAATCCTTAGTCTTTAAACAATCATTACAATTACATATGTAGCCACAATTCTATCAATTGGAACTGTTGTGTTCCAAGTTAATTCTGAATCATTTATACTTAAAACAGGTAATAAAAAATGTCCATGAGTTTCAATCTCACCTGAGCTCCTGCCAGAATGGCCTTCTCATAGATTGCAATAACATTTTCAATAGGACTTGTGATTGGTTCAATACGTGCAAGGCATATCCAATATTTAACAAGTTTCTTGGCATCTGGAATATTTTTAATGAGGTCATTCAATGTGATCAGTATTTCTTCTTTTGGGCATCCCTAACATAGCAAGGGAAAAAAAAGCAAGAAATAAAATGAATACTATCTTTTAATCTATAAACTATAATAATAAATAAGCTTATTTTAATCAAGATCTGTGATAAGACTGGACAGAAAACTTCATAAAAATATTCACTATTATCCTCTGGATTACTCCATTATTATGAATGGCTAACAAGAAGTGAAAAAAGGGAACAAAAAATGAAATTGTAGATAAGAAAAACAGGAATAATAGTCTACTTGGTCTCAAAGTTTACCTTCTTATATATAGTGGAAATAATCTACATGTTAACATTTATTTAGAATTTTTATACCTACTAAATGTTTTGTGAGAATGCTGTCAGGTTATTTATTTTGTATTTGTCAGGTTTGACCCTAAGTTTAAAAGGGATCTGTTAAGTAAGAGCTACATATAGTTAAATAGTAAGAAAGGAAAATTCCATAATCTCAACAAAAAAACTCAGTAGAGCAAAAACAAGACTTGAATCAATGTTTCCCAGATTATAATTATTTAATTGGTCCTCAGAATTACAAAAAGACTTAAAGATGTTTATGAAGACTAGAGCTGGGTTTGAAATCAATGCTATTTATATCTGAGATACTAGTAGGTGACCGAAGCAAAATTAAAGAGCAGTCAGGGAATAGAGGACAATTCTTGAGTTGATTTTGGTCTAAATTATACAGCTACAATAAGTCCAAGACCATGATGACATCAGTTTAGATTATTGGGGTTCTTTCTGCAAATATTTTGGCTTTTTAATTCAATCTGTGATAACTACTGCTTAGTAATTTGTGTTGTTAGTCCAGTAAAATGAGTGTGAAAAGTACTGAAAGAATCTATGAAAAATAAGTTACACAGGTAAAGGTCCCATTCTCCTGCCACTGTACATTAACATCTTAGAGGAATACATTATTTACAACTGGAATAAAAATTTCTGGTTTTGATATACAAATGCAATGAAAATGCAATCTGGGCCTCCCTGGTGGCACAGGGGATAAAGACAGTGCTATCAAGCTATCAACCACCACTGCAGCATGAGCTCCATCCCAGCCTGGCCAGCGAGCTGCATAGCACAGCAGACCTCTCCTGTCTTGGCCACCGCTTCCCTCCGCAGTGTATTTCAGTCAATCTACCTGTTCTCCTCACTCTGTCTCTCGTGAATCCTCTTACCCTCCTGCACCTCTGGCCTACACTCTAGTTTTTGTATGTATAAATAAATCTTAAAAAAAGAAAATGCAATCCTTTAAAGATTAGAGGAATAATCTCACAATTAACATTAAATCAACATAGTACCATTCATACTGCTCACAAAAATTGACAACATAACAATATTTATAAACTATAAAAAGCCATACAAATGTAAAATAAAGATACCTCATTAATCAGGTTCAGGCATTCAGAAAATGTCTTGTTTACTTTTTCAGTAAATAATCTTTGTTCATCTTCTTCAGCCATGGTAGTCCAAAAGGACCCAACTGGCTTCTCATTTCGTTCTTCAGGTTCAGACTGAGTAACCACCGCAGTGGGAGGCCTCTTTAGTATTTTTCCTTTGCCAGCCTTCCACTCATTCAGACGAGCTCTGCAGTTAGAAGTAGTACATAAGCATTTCTGTGACATGATGATAGAATATTGTCAAATATAAGTTAAAAAGTATTTCAGGCCTTTTAAGGGGTTCCATGCTAGTGGCACATTCACAGATCATAAGTTTAAAAATATACTGATATGGGCCCTCCCTGGTGACCTAACAGCTGAAGGTCTAACATTATGAAGCTCTCCCAAGCCACTGCAGCACGAGTTTGATCCCCAGCTAGGGAGCTGACATGGCGTGGCAAATCTCTTCTGACCTGCCCGCTGTTCCCCTCAGCAGTGTATTTCTGTTGATCTGCCTGTTCTGCTCCCCACTCTGTCTCTGGTGGGTCCTCTCACCCACCACACCTCTGGCCTGTACCCCAGTTCTGTAAGCATAAATAAATAAATCTTTAAAAAAAAAAAAGAAAAAGAAAAATATACTGATACATACAATACAAAATACAATTTATTATATGCTTAAAAATCCCAAGAATGTAGTTTTAAAGAGTGAGGTTAAAAAACATTTCCCTATTTCATTAAACATTTTAATTATACAATATTCAAATGAAAGATAAACTAAGTCATATTACTATTGTCAGCACAGGCAGAAAAGAATCCACATCCAAAAATACTCTAATACATTCAAAGAAATTACAAATCAAATTCACAAATTAAAAATTTGTAAACTTGGCCCTCCCTGGTGGTGCAGCAGGTTAAAACACTGCACTAAGAAGCGAAAGCCACTTCCGCGTGAGTTCGATTCCCGCCTGCCCCGGAGGTGACCACATGGTGTGGCAGACCTCTCCCGACCAGCCCACTGCTTCCCTCAGCAGTGTACTTCATTGATCTGCCTGTTCTGCTTCCCGCTATGTCTCTGGTGAATCCTCTCACCCTCCACATTTCTGGCCTGTAACCCAGTTCTGTATGAATAAATAAATAAATCTTAAAAAAAAAAAAATTTGTAAACTTTTGGTGGAGATAGCAATGCAGTATATATGTTAAACTATAATGCTATATATGTAGTTATAAACCAGTTACTTTAAAAAGTGTTTTTTCAATTGAAAAATTAAACTAGGGCCCTCCCTGGTAGCGCAGCGGGTTAAAGCACTGCACTGAGAAGCTAAAGCCACTTCCGCATGAGTTCGATTCCCGCCTGCCCTGGAGGTGACCACATGGTGTGGCAGACCTCTCCTGACCCACCCGCTGCTCCCCTCAGCAGTGTGCTTCGTCAATCTGCCTGTTCTGCTCCCCACTCTGTCTCTGGTGAATCCTCTCACCCTCCACATCTCTGGCCTGTACCCCAGTTCTGTACAAATAAATAAATAAATATTAAAAAAAAAAATTAAACTAATAAAATTCCAGGTACTTACTTTCTCTCTTCTGCAGTTTCTTTGGGCCGAGCCAGTCTATTATCAACAGTTGTTTTTGCTATAGTATGTCTGCGCTGGTCAATGGTTTTTGACTTTTCTATCAGTTTGAGTTTAGAAGATGCCGCAGGCCTGACGACAGTTTCAGATGTCATGTTTCTTGATAGTGCATTATTTCTTTTTAGATCCTGAGAAGAACTAACTTTGAAACTAGATACAACTGTATTTAATTGTGGTAATTCTTTTTCCCGAGGCACCTTCCGCACTGTGACATTGGCAGAGGTTCTACCCACGCTCTGTTTCACCAGGCCCTGTTTCATGGTGTCATGCTTCTTGTCCTGGTGACTTCTAATAGGAGGTCGCACAAGTTTGTTTTGAGATGTAGTGCTCACAAATTTAGTGGTAGTGGTCATGTTTGAAGGGCAATCACTTTTCACAATTACACTGCTGGTGTTTACAGGCTGAGGCTTTGTAACTTTAGAGAAAGTAGCTGAAAGTTTCTTTGTTGTAGAGCCCTCATCTTTGATTTGCAGAGGTTTTCTAAACGAATTAACCTTAGACTGAACAATTTGGCCACGATAAGATCCAAGGACAGGTTTCTTGGGCACGGTAGCATCTTGCTTTGGTTTTTCTGTAGATGTTTGTTTCTTTTTACTATTGTTTTTAAGGTGAAATGCTTGGCTTAATGTCATTGTTTGACCGTGGGGGTCATCTTTAATTGGCAACTGCAGAGCTTGATTATTATCCTCCAAACGTGAATCAATTGCTATATTTGAATTGGTTAATTCATTCGAAGATTTTAAAGGCATACAATTTTTTTCCACTCTTGTATTATGTTTGCTCACGATAGGTCTACCAAAGTTTTCTTTATCAGCCTAAAAGAGTATTTAAGACAAATCAGTATTTCAGATTTCAGAACTCTTTTTTTTTTCTTTTCAGGAAGAGTTTAGGAAAAGGTAAAGTTTATGAGGGTTATGTCCATAGCTTACCATTTTGGTATTAAGTTTCAGAACTTGTGTTTCTTTTTGCACCCAGTTCTCGGATGTCATCACGCTCTGGTCTTTCCTAATTAAAAAATAACAAAATTAACCCTGTACCAGAGAGGTTCCCTTTTTTTTTTAAGAAGAGATGGAAAGATGTAATTAACTGAATTCCTTAGATTTAAATTGAGGCAGCAACTGAACTGAGATTTATACTGTAATTTCATAATGTTAACAAGATGTCAAGAAAGTTAAAGCTATTCCTTCAATCTTAACATGCCCATAAATATTTTAAAACCAATTGATAATCTCATTCTAAATCATCTTTTTAGTCAAACAAGTCTTTAAAAAAACTACAAAAACCTTTTTTAGGCAACACTTTGCTCAGTAAATACTTAGTAACAAGACTTAGAGTGAAAAAATTATTTTAAAGAGTTCTCCCAAAAGAAATGCTAAAATTCTCTCATAGCAGGAATATAACGGAACATGCAAGAAAATAATGATAATGATGAACCAGAGACATTTTGTGGGTGGAGTGGGGAATGGGATCAAAAACAGTGGAGGGAGGGAAATGCGCTGGACTATGGTGATGGCACATGGGTGATTTGGTGATGGGAAGCCCAAGGGAATTGCAACTGAGATGGAAAAAGGAACAAAATGATGTAAAAATAAACTATTATTTTTAAAAAATGCTAAATTTACCACACGCAGCTTAATGTACTAAGAATATAAACTTTAGTTTCTAGATAGCAATGCATTTAGAATATATGTCCAAAGAAAATACTTCCTCTAGTATTTGACCTAAATGCTTCTACATTAGATATAGATGGGTTAGTCAAGCTGTGAAGCTTTCTTAACTACTAAATACAATGTTTTTTGCATACTATGAGGAGATTAAAAGGTTGACATGCCTGATCCTAAGATAGCTCTCAAGTTCAGAGATATTGAAAAGTGAAAAAAATGTACATTTCAGAGACAACAAAATATTGGTTACATTGCCTTTCACATGTATTTGCTCATATGCTCACATGGCATTTTGTCAATAGCTTATATATGCATTCTGAATGAGGAAAGCAGGCCCACTAACCAAGGCACCATGGTAATTATTTTCTAAGTGTAAGTTTTTTCTCTTCCTCCCAGGTATTGCCAGTAGCTGAGAGCATAGCAGTCTCCCCAGTTTAAGCTCCTGTGTTTACTACCTGGGTAGTAGATATTCTTCATAGGATTCTCTGGCCTGTATCATGTGGGGTGAGGGAGTTGAAATGCAGTTTGCTCCCAAGATGATACCTTATCAGGCACTTTATTGGGTATGTATAGTATACTGTGAATGTAACCTCACTGACAAAATTAGAAGCAGTCTTAGTAAGAAGTAGCTTATATTTTCCCCACCAAATAATAGCAGCCTATAGGTCTCTATTCTCATATACTCTGCTGTTCCTCCTGTTTAATGGATGAATTGGCATCATGCTGATTCAGAGTCAAACTCTCTGTTTGTGGTCTCCATCCTTTCTACTCAGGAAGGTTGTTCCTGTGATTATGTGCTCATCCTCCTGTATTGTATAACATATACTGTATATTAATATATGTATTTATATGTACACTAGATATATATGATATATACCATGACATATACACTATGTATACTAGTATAAAAATTACATATTATAATTAACATTACAATACTATAATACTATAGTATAATATATCTGTCCCTCTAGGAAGTGATTAAAGGACAACTCTGGTACATTTTCACAGAACTGAAATGAAATAAATTTAACCCCACCTGGATAATATCTGATTGTCCTGTTTGTATGTAAAAAAAGTTTTTCTTTTTAACAGCTGTTCCTTGAGTTTTTGTCTTCTTTGCTCTAAATAACAAAGGTCAACAGCCAACAATAATTAGAACAGTATCAAATAAATATTGATTAAATAAAGATTTTATTTTCAAAAATGAAGCACCTGACATCATGGCTTGTATATGAAAAGTTTCCAGTTCACTATAGCTTTTGAGAAATAATTCCATGGATTTAGCATTAGATACCTACAACCACTGAGCATAAGAAACACACTATCATCTGCTAGTTAAAAAGGGATAACATCATCTTCAACAGGTTACTGAAAACCAAAGAAACTACAGTAAATGGTAAAGACGAGACATTTCATTTTTAGTTGTCCCATGTAGAGAACAAAGAAATACTAATGGTACTTCTGAAGACCTAGCCAACTCGCTATTTCCATAAAGTCAAAGCATAACATTCCCAGCATCTGGACCGCCCCGCTCCCCGGGAACCTGCTCCCGACTCCAGCGGCGCGCACGTTCTGCGCAGGCGCACTGAGTTCCCGACAGAGACTGGCCCCGCCCCCCATCCCGGGCCGGGGGCTCCACAAGCCCCTCGCCGAACGGACTCCGCCCGTCGGCGCGTCATCACCGCCGGCGGGCCAAGCCCGGCCAGTAGCGACGGGAGGCGAGGCGCTACATCCTTACACCAACGCCGCACAGCAGGCACCACTCTGATCGCCACGCTCGCGGTTGCGGGCGCCGAGCGACCCGTTTAGGATTCTCACACGCGCCATCAGGGCAGAAGCTGGCCCAGGCAACCCCGGCTCCGACCGCCCAGCCCGGGCGCTCCCTACGCCCGGCCCCGTCCGCAGGCGAACGACCGCTCGCCGGTTCGCAGCCCTCACCTCTGAACGCAGACTCGCCCCGCTGACTCGGGGGCAGCTGCAGGTCCCGGGGCACGGTCGGGGTGCTCATCACCGCGCGGGGTCGGAGGCAGCCTCTTTCGCACCACCACCTGGCACTCGAGGAGCCCAGACCGTAGCGCTCCGACGCGCCGCTGGGGCATTTAGACTGCGCGCCAGCCGCCACCGCCCATTGGTGCACGGCGTGAATTGAATGGGCCAATAGGCGTGGAGGGGCGGGGCCTGGGGCCGGTCTTGAAGCGCCCGGCGCTGAGGCTCTGGGTTTTCAAACCTAAACAAGGCTCTGGGTCTTGCACTTGCAGGGGGCGGAGCTGCGACTTGCTAAATCTCTGTTCTGCAGTTGTACAAGGGACTAGTCTTTAGTCGCTCCAGTCCGTTGAAGGCAAAAAGGAAAAATGCTTGGCTGCACTTCTTAAACGTCAGCGATTTCGGTGTGGAGGAGGGTTTAAACAACGGCTACCGTACAAAAAGCGCGTGTCTTCCCCTTTCACAAATATTACTTGATTGCTGCACCATTGCTCGAAGGGGATGTGGCTATCTCATATTTCACAGATGGGTTGATGGACTCAAGTTATTTGTCCATGTTGTCCAGCCTGCAAACGGGAAGTGAAATAAGGGTCTACTTTTCTTTGTAACTACCCAATTATCAAATGGGGTGGTGGGTAGGCATGAGGATGAGATGAAGAGAAATCTCCTCCCCATAATTCTGTGATGATAAAATGCCACTTGTAGCCATCTCGTGTGCCTGGTTTTTTGGGGTTTTTTTTTAGATTTTTTTTCTATTACTCAAAAAATCTTCACTATTTATTTAGCTTTCTGACTCTGTAGTTGTGCCTTGAATACTTCAATAAGAAAAGCCCCTTTGATTCTGTTCCACGCATATTTAACACACATAGAGCCTCCCTAAGCCTGGATGACATGTTTCCTTTTTTTATGTTTTTTAAACACAGTCATAAGATCTTTAGGTCTCACAGAGTGAACCCCTCGAAGTCAGCACCCACCACATGCAAGTTTTGGTGCTTTCCCAGCTTTTTTTGGTATAACGGTAAACAATTCTACTACGGGGTACGGGACAGCTGGTTTGTTAGAGGCTGTGGTGTAGGAGAGCCTTCAAGGGTTGGTCAAACGCTGGACCGTCCTGAATGCCGCTACACACCTTCCCAGGAAGAGGAAACAGCTCATGTGTCTGTTTTTAAGGGTGGTGCCATAATCTTTCAGTTCTCATTTGAAGATAATCACCTTCAATAAATCCACACAGACACCCATTCCATAAGATCAGAGGAATAAATCAGAGCTGCAAGGTTTACACGGTGGGAATAGAATTGATGGAGCGCTGTGCGCTATGTCTGTCTGGTTTAAGCACTGGATTCTTTATATTTCTCCACTTACCTCACTGCAGTGTTTCAGTCGGGCTATACGTAGGGGGCAAATGGGACAGTGATTTCTATCTTCCCTGTGTCAGGCGAAGATCTTCACCGCTGGCTTTCAACTGTGGTGAGTTTGTTACAAGACAGGGAGAGGGCTCAGAACCCCAAACTTGTTCATTCTAAATAGGTTATGCCATCCACCCATCAAGACAGAGTTTCAAGACAAAACATACTCTAGTGCATAAGACCTTTAATGGAAAGGAACTTTAATACAATTAGTGTGCCACAAAGAAACGACAAAGAGTAAAGTTCTCAAACCACTCACTTACCCACCCCTCACAGGTAACACCCAGCCAAACAGGGTTGGCTCAAAGCAGAGCCACTGATGCTGTGAAGCCTGCCACAAGTCTAAGGCACCTCCTAGTGGGGCCCCATAGGAAAGGCGCAGAAGGGGCCCAGCACCTGGGACTGAAGGTGCAAAATCAAAACCAAGATAAACGCTGCCATTGTTAACCTCCCCACAGGTCTGTCATCCAACTCTGCTTCAACCAGTCCAAACCAAGAAGCAAAGCAGTTTCTTCAAATGTCTCCATGTGCATCCTCCAGGTCTCCTGCTCTCCATCCTTCCTGCCTTCCTTCTTCCAGTCTCCTCTTCAGCTTCTCCACTTTCCCTTCTCAGCTCTACTCTTCCTTGGGCAGGGGCACCGGAAACTCCACTTTTGGGGGGGACCATCCTGTTACAAGTTTTTCCTGACTTTTTCTTCAGGCAGAATCTTATAGTAAGTAATATGTTGCTAATGAAAAAGTTAGAGTATTCTGTAGATTTTTTTCTTGATCTTTCTTCATTTTCCCACTTTTAGTATATGTTTAAGACCAACTTTGGCAAAAGCCATCACTATCCCTAAGACATCATTGCAGTGTATACTCCCATTATTATTGATCATTTACTAAATTTCAGTAACTAGGGATTAAGTAACTAGGGATTCCCATTACAAGTTGAAAAAAGGGCCCTCCTTAGTGGCGCAATGGGTTGGGACAGATGCAGCACTGCAAGCTAGCCACAGCCAAGTAAGTGAGAGTTCGATCCCCTGCTCTGGAGGTGACCCACATGGGGAGGCAGGCCTCCCCTGACACGCCTGCTGCTCCCCTCAGCAGTGTACTTCAGCTCCCCACTCTGTCTCTGGTGAAGCCTCTCACCACCCCTGCAACTCTGGCTTGTACCCCAGTTCTGTATGCACAAATAAATAAATCTTAAAAAAAAATCAAATTGTAAATTAAACATACTGAAAAATGGAGGATACGTAACCATTAAAAAAAAAGAGTTGAAAAAAGTGTAATAAAATATAACAATTAAAAAGTAACTCACGGGGCCCTCCCTGGTGGCGCAGCGGGTTAAAGCACTGCACTAAGAAGCTTAAGCCACTTCCACATGAGTTCGATCCCCGCCTGCCCCGGAGGAGATCCACATGGCGTGGCAGACCTCTCCTGACCCGCCCGCTGCTCCCCTCAGCAGTGTACTTCGTAGATCTGCCTGTTCTGCTCCCCACTCTGTCTCTGGTGAATCCTCTCACCCTCCGCATCTCTGGCCTGTACCCCAGTTCTGTATGAATAAATAAATCTTTAAAAAAAAAAAAAGTAACTCACAAATCTCCCAAATATTACACTAAGTTAAAGAAATCAGCTGCAAAGGGTCACCATATGATATGATTTATTTATGTGAAGTATTCAAAATAAACAAGTCTATAGAAATATAACACAGATTGGTGCTAATACATATTGGTGATTGCCAGGGTGGGGGGAACATGGCGAAGAGACCATTTAATAACTTGGCAGTGATGGAAATGTTTTGAAGGTTGCCAGAGGTGGTGGTTGTACAAAATTGTGAATGTGGTTCTCCTTAGTGGCACAGGGGTTAAAGTCTCAATACTATCAAGCTATTGCCAGCTACTGCAGCAAGAGTTTGATCCTTGACCAGGGAGGTGAACCACATGCCATAGCAGACCTCTCCTGTCACGCCTATTTCTCCCCTCAGCAGTGTATTTCAGTATATTTGCCTGTTCTACTCCCCACTCTGTCTCTGATAAATCCTCTCACCCACCCTGCACTGTTGACCTCAGTTTCTGTATTCATAAATAAATATAATATTTTTTTTTCAAATGTGAATGTATTGGTGTTACTGAGCTGTCCTCTTTAAAATGGCTAATTTTATGTTCTTAACTTCAGTAATTTTTAAAGTGGGAGTGGTTAAAAAGGGACATGACTAAGAATACTGTGGAGATCTCAAAAAGCTAAGACTGTGCATAAAACAACCTGACAAATTGCTAGATTTGCCACCATGATAATTCTTCTAAAAGAAAAGACAGCAGAAAATCTAAGTTACTTAATGTTAGGCAAGGATTTCTTAAGTCGGAGACCATAAAACTACTATAAAAGACTATAAAACTATAAAGGAAAGTTACTGCACTCTATCAAAATGAAAATCTTTAGCTCTTCAAAAAACACTTCAGAAAACTGAGAAGGAAGCTAGAATAGAGGATATTTGTAAAGCATTTGACAAGACTTATCCAGAATATATGAGAACACTTATGACACATTTTTTAAAATGTGCAACAACAAATAATTGGACTTTCCAGAGAAGACATTAGAAAAAAATATATAAGCACATGCAGAGATACTGAATTGATAATTATCAGGGGAATTCAAATCACAATAGAATACCTCTCACTGTGCATTAAATGGCTGATTTTTTATAGACAGATTATAGCAAGGTTTGTGGGGAATTAGAACTCTCACATACTGCTGGTAGCAATGCTAAATGGTATGGTTACTTTCTTAACAGCTTGTCTGTTTCTTATAAAATTACATATATATTTACCATATGATCTAGCTTTATTTTTCTAGGCATTTACTCAAGAGAAATAAGTACATATATACACAGAGATATTATAGCAGATAATAACCCTAAGGCGAAAACAAAGGGAATCACCAGCAAGTGATGAATGAATTAATAAATTGTGACATAGCCATACAACTGATGACTACTGAACAGTAAAAACGAAAAAAACACTGATAAATGCAGCAATATGCATGAAGCTCAAAAATGTGGCAACATTTAAAGGCCAGATACACAAAAAACTGACATTTAATAATTCCACTAATATGAAGTTCTAGAAAAAGCAAGACTATGCTGATAGAAAGCAGATGGTGATTCTTAGAAGCCAGGAGACAGCGAGAGGGGGGCAGTGAAAGGAACCCAAGGAAACTTTGGGGTGATGAAAATATTCTATATATAATGACCGTAGTTATATGATTGTAGTAAAAAGTCATCAATTTGCACATTTAAAAATTGGTAAGTTTTACTATATGTAAAATATACTAAGTAAATAAAAAGACCTAATACTAGAGAAGGAAGAAAAAGGAAATTGCTATTCTGTGTTCAACTGAATTTGACAAGGACAACTTTCTTTGTTCTCTGAAAAATTTCAGGTGATAAAATAATTATTTTTTTCATTCAATGTTTAAAAGAATTCACCTGGGCAACAATTTGGTCCCACAGTGTTTGGGCTTTAGGGGGGCGGGGGGCTTTTTTTTGGTTTTGTTTGTTTTTTGGTACCTAAATAATACTTTCTCAATTTTTGGTTTTAAAAGTTCCTTTCTTTTTTTTTTTTTAAAGATTTATTTATTTATTCATACAGAACTGGGGTACAGGCCAGAGATGCGGAGGGTGAGAGGATTCACCAGAGA